AATTGACAATGCTGTCATTATCAAGCGATATCAATTGATGAAAACCCATAGAAATCAGTTGTAAATTTCGTTTTTTTTTTTGTATTTCACATTTGGTGAAAACTTTTATTCCTATAATCTATTTTTTGTCTTTGATTTTGTTGTTACAATAGATTTTTTTTTGCAAAGTACATTATTTAGTTAAATTTTGGCCCCACCTGGAGGCCAAAGCTAGATCCGCCCCTGTCACTGGTGGATGGACGGCAAAATAGATGTTTAATGTTATTATTTTTATTTAAATTTAATTAAGGAGCTGTAACTAGTCATTTCGTAACTGTTAATAGAATTACCCTAGGATAATCCTTTTGTTCAAATAAGAGATCCTACATTCCCACTAGGCCTTGCTCAACGCTACGAAACAGGGCAGCAAGGGGGTGAGAGTCAGAGCAATGAATCAGGCGGTGCAGAAGAACACTCTCTACGTAGGTAAGTTTCCTCGTCTCAATATCCTCTACCTCGTACATTCGTATTCAATTCATCCACTTATGATTCCAGAATGAACTCAGTACATTATGAATTACAGGTGGATTGGCGGAGGAAGTGAACGAGGCGATACTCCACGCCGCCTTCATACCCTTCGGAGACATCAAGGATGTGAAGACTCCATTGGACCAAGCCACACAGAAGCACCGCTCTTTTGGCTTTGTCACTTTTCTTGAGAGGGAAGATGCTTCCGCTGCCATGGACAATATGGACGGCGCGGAGCTCTACGGCCGAGTTCTCACCGTTAATTACGCTCTCCCTGAACGCATCAAGGGTGGTGAACAGGGTTGGGCTGCCCAGCCCAGTAAGCATCTTTTATCACCTCTCCTACTTTTCTCGTTTAATTTTTGGTCAAATAAATGTCATTATTAAACCTAGCCCTGGATCACACAGTGATAGCTAGCATGTGGCGTTTTTTAATAGTCTTTGATTGTCTAATTTTTAGTGGTTATTGGTCTTGAAGATTTTTCAAGATAAGAAACATGGAAATGCAAAAATACTAAATAAGATCTCTTTAAAATAAAAAGAACAGGATCTTGTGATATGACCCTAGCTAATTGGTTTGTTATGCATAGATTAATATGAAAATCCTCTTTAGCAGTCAATTAGAGCGTGGTTCACTGAATTTGAGATTACATTTGTTTGTAGGGGAATGTAAGATCACAGGTTTAACAGAACGTGATATCACTTGTTTTAATAAATTGCCAAGGACTAACTATGTTTAGCCTAAAATATTGCCATCATAATATTGTAATTATAATACTTGAAGAAGTTGAGGTCTCATGACTCTCATCTCTCTCTTACTTTAAAAAACAAATGTGGTGGTAATGTTAATCTGATCTGATTAACTCCAAACCAGACAAGGTTAATTGGTTAAATCATGTTACCTTATTTGCACGATGTGATGCTAACCATAAGCCCAAGTGGTGCAGGCTTGTGTAGGGGTAGTATCTTGCTATTTTTGTTTTGCTTTTGCCTTTTGGCCCTGAAGAAATCTCTGTGTGAGATTGTGGATAATTCTTATTTGATTGTTGACATTGGGATATGAAGTTAGCTGCTGGCTCATCTTTCAAGTAGTGGATTGGATTGTATTATTCTAAGCAAGTTCTCACCAAGGAATGACATCTAAACTGCAATATTTAGCTAGTTCTTTCCCATCCTAGTAGGGATTTGATGGCTTCATTTGTTCACAATTTATTTAAAAGTGTAAAACCCTTCAGCTTGTTTTCTATCCAAACAATTCACAAATCCTAAACCAAAATCGTAATGTCAAAACCAAACCAAACCAAACCAAACCAAGTCTTTTTTGCCAAGTAGGATATTCTATCATGAGTAAAGCCTAGTTATCTCAAAATTACATGCTTATTGACCAGGAAGGAGTGGTAGATCAGTTGATGATTCAAATTATTCAGGCTATTGTTTGTGTAATCTGAACTTCTCTTCATACTTTCACCTATCCTCAAAGAAAATTTTGTATTGTACTTGTGAATAGAGTATCCCCTTTATTAGTTTTGAAGATGCGCATAAAGATTTCTGAAATTCTTGAACTTATTCTATTGTTATGATGATGCTATATAACTTTCTCAATGTACCCAAAAATGATGATGCTATGATAATGACTTCAGTATGGGCGGAGGCGGACACATGGTTTGAGAGACAACAGCAAGAAGAGGAAATGCAGAAACTTCAAGCAGAGAATAGGGCTGATATGAAGGCTGCAGAGGAATTACACAGGAAAAAGATGGCAGAGGAAAGAGAAGGTGAAAAGGAGGATGGAGATGTCATCAAGGATGATCCCATGGCACAAGCTGAAGCTGAGGTTTTAAAAGAAAACCTGGAATCTTCTTAGTCCCCCAGCAATTACTCTTCTTTCAGGAGATTGTACTGTACCCTTTTTCTCAAATTTATTGTGAAACAGATTGTAGTGTGATTAAACGCAATTCCCTCCGTCCCTCTGGCTGTATAAATGTCTTAGTTCCTGCTTTATCAGCTGTCTGCATGTATGTCCTTCGCCATTGAAGGTTAATACTTCTATGAGTTCTATCCACCCCAAGTTTAATTTTGAAGAAAATTTATGAGTGAATCTTTCTTTTGTCACTCCAAATTCAAATTCAGGGGTGCTCTTGCTCTGCCAGTGACGGTGTTGGTTGTATGGTGGTGTTCATACTCTAATGTCATGCAATAGACGTCATGATGACCCAAATACTTGATGTAACGTTGAAAACATACTTGGCTTTAATGGTCATCTGAGATATATGTTTTGTTATTTGCTTAGAATATTATCATTTGAAGAATTATTTGATATTTAAATTTTAAAATGTGTCTATATATATAACATTGGTGGCCTCTGCCGCAGCTGACCGCCGCTGCCTCTTTTGGCGAGACCAGTGCACATCTCTGGTGCGACTATCATATTCTGTGGCAAACTTGTTGCCTACCTCTGGTGTGATTGCGGTCTTCATAATAGTAAGGGAAAACTGTCAAATAGGTCCTCGAACTTTCATAAAAAAGTCAATTAAGTCCTTCTATAGGAGACTTTGTCCGGTCGTCGCGATTTGGGGTGGTTCTTGGTGGAATTTTTTGATGAAATTTTTTGAGCATCTTATTCATCAAGTCTAGTTTACCCATACCAAATTTCAGCTAAAAATTTAATCGGGAGTGCATTCAAATTGATTTGAGAACGCAAAAATGTGCAGTTATCTTCAAGAATTAATTGGAATGTGTTCCCGATTGAATTTTTAGCTGAAATTTGGTATGAGTAAGCTAGACTTGGTGAATAAGATGCTCACAATATTTCATCAAAAAATTCCACTGGGAGCTGTCCCAAATCGCGACGGACGGACAGAACCTCCTATAGAAGGACTTAATTGACCTTTTTATGAAAGTTCGAGAACCTATCTGACAGTTTTTCCTAATAGTAATGATATGGTATAACATGGAATATTCAAAGACATGACATTCATGTGTACAAAAAGATGGCATTTGGAAGTAATGTTGCCTTAAAAAATGCATTATTACCCTATAAATGGCATTCTTTGCCAAGTGACTTAAAATGGCACATGTAATGCCATAAAAATGACATTACTTTCAAACCAATGTTCGAATAAAAGAAAATGATATTTTCAGATTTAAAACGATTAGAAATAAAATCTTTATAATAGATGCCTACAAGTTATCTTGCATGTTTTCATTATATTGATATAAGCCGTTTATCATAAAAAAAAAACATTTAATTTGAGATGAGAGTATTAATAACATACACTTAATGGCCTCTTGAGTTGTGTTTTTTGCGGGTTTTAATGCACCAAACCCCCACGTGATATAGAAATTCAGCGTATTAATCCTTGTGATTTGAAAAATGCGTCAAATCCTCTTGTGTTTTAAATTAATCATGCACAAAACCCCTTTTTTGAATATATTCAACGATTTGGAAGTCACTTTTCCTAATATTTTGATAGAACATGCAAGTTAATATGTCAAAATCTCTAAATCATACAATAATGTTAATCACTTTTCTTTTACTTGACAATTAAATTTGTTCATAAAAGCGATTTTGTGCGTGATTAATTAAAACACAGAGAAATTTGGTACATCTTTTAAATCACAGAGAGCTAATGCACCGAATTTCTATATCACAGATTCACAAGGGGGTTGGTGTATTAAACCCATTTGCGTTCAAAGTGTCACTGAATACTCCACGGAACGGGAAGATGACAATTGATGATGGCTTTCTTTCAATTTAGTGTGAGTGATTGATTCCGACAATTCATACAATAGAAGTTTGATGAAATCAGTTCAAAATTGAGAATGTGAGATCACTTTATGTGATGTGTTACCTTTTGATTGCAGGTTGGGTAGAGAAAAGACGAAGGATATTCAAAATTCAAATGAAGGCAAACAATATGTTTAGGTTTAGAGAGGGAACAAAAACCTACTTAAAGTCTCAAACCATAAACTCATTAGTGTTAATTGTTTGTCCATGTATTCATAATTTGTCCCCTTGAAATAGCCTTGGACCCGATTCAGGCGACCCGGCCCGGGAACAGGCCCGGCCCGCTACTGTACGGGCCTGGCCCGGTGCTTCGAGCCCCAAACCGGTCTTTGACCCGGTTGTATACGTGTATGGAATAAGCGGGGCGGGCTCGGGCTGTACAAATGGGGGCCCGGCCCGGCAGGGCCCGGTTCGGACCAAAACCGTTTTTTTTTTTTCAGTTTTTTTGGGTTTCCCCGGGTTGGGCTTGATGTTTTGGGGGGGGTGGGGGTAATTAGGAAAGAAAAAAAAATACAAGCCAGCCCGAACCGGACCCGGTGGCAACCCAGGCCTTCCCCCATCCACAAAAGGCCCGACCGGGCCTAGGCCCGGCCCGGCTTCATGCCTACCTTGAAAGTTGAAACACTACAAGTAACATGTGTGTCTTATTTTTTTCTTCTTTTATCTTTCTTTTGTTTCTCGTTATTTTGTTTTAGTAAGATTAGAACAGCAGCAAAAGTAAACAATAATATATAGCAGGAGGTATGACTCATGAGTGTGGAATAAAGTCTGCTTTTATAATACAACACCATCACACTTTCTCTTAAATTAGAAATGAACATACAACACTCAGGATTACAACCGCAAAATAGTTCTTAGTGTCTCACTAAGGTTCTGAATGGTCTGCTGTTCTTGGGTAGCTTGCATTTCTTGGAGAGGCATCTCTTCATAACACCTGCAATGGTTTGTTTAACAGATCAATAAACATTAACGATTTTAACGCACCAGGAACAATTTTCAGTGTGTACAAAGCAAACAATTGTTGCAGCTTCTTTTTCTACAAGGAGAAAAGTGGGGAAAACAAGTTTCTTGACTGACAGAAGATACTTTCCCTGGAGAATACTTCCCATATTTTCCTATGTTTGAATGCGAAGATAGTTTCCTTGACTGAATGTGCTTTCCTCGATTTCTTGAACTTAAAAGGGAGCTATTTTCCTAAACCACTGTTTTTAAATGGATAAACATTAATGATCCATTTGTTCTGAGGTGAACCTATGTTCTACTAGATTTAATTTCGGCAACACCTCGTTTGTTTACTAACTTATTACAAAAATCCAAGTTTATCTAGGAGAACCTCCAAAACTTTCCAATAATTGAGAGGTTAAGTTATCAATACAAGTAATTTTAACATGTTCAGCTTGGTTAAGTTGCATCCAAATGACATTTTACTGCATTCACATGAGGTAACCCAATATTTATTCAAATAATATATATATATATATATATATATATATATATATATATATTTCAGGATTATTCCTGTCCGGAAATTCCGGACAGGAGCCTCGTCCGGCCTCCTCCGTTTAAGGTGGTTCCCGGTGGTATTTTTTGCCGAAATGTTTTTTGTATGTTCTTCATCAAGTTTAGTTTATCCATACCAAATTTCAGCTAAAAATTCAATCGGGAAGGCAGTCAAATGATTTTTGGAAGTTAACTGTGTTGTATATGTATATATAGTGCGCAGTTAACTTCCAAAAATCATTTGAATGCCTTCCCGATCGAATTTTGAGCTGAAATTTGGTATGGATAAACTAGACTTGATGAAGAACATGCACAAACAATTTGAACAAAAATTACCACCGGGAAGTGCCCGAAATGCCCTCGGCCGGACGGAGGTTCCCGTCTGGCCGGCTGGACATGAAAAGTCCTATATATATATATATATATATATATATATATATATATATATATATATATATATATATATATATATATATATATATATATATATATATATATATATATATATATATATATAAGGATTGGTTCAAATAAAAACAAGTCTTTCAATGAAAAATGAGAATAAATTTAAGTCGTTCATTCTTTAAAAATGAATGGGTTAGATCAATTTAAAAATGTGCACTCATGCCAGCTTAACTTTTCTATCAACTATCTTGTACTCCCTCCGTCCCATTTATATTGTCCCGTTTTACCTTTTCGGGAAGTCCCGCTTAAATTGTCCCATACCATATTTGACAAAGTTTGTGTGGCTCTAAATCATTCTTACTTTATTCTTACTTTATCAATTAATATCAACCACACAAACCCACGTTTCTTAATAACCGTGTCACCCTCTTCCGGGACAATATAAATGGGACGGAGCCACGGAGGTCGTAGTTATATACAAATTGTTTCGTATAGGGATGCACTTTTAAATTATAATTGTACTTATTGTAAATCCGGATATACTTTTATCAGCACTTCCTTAATAAAAGTTCGTAATTACAAAAACGCCACCGCATTGGGGACTGATCTCATCCACCCATTTTGTGACACCAATGATCAAGATTAATTCTCAATGTTCACCTTAGATGATCTTTTTATTCGAACCAATCCCTGTGTGTGTATTTAGGTTCCACCCAGTTTCACTTGACCTAGGTTGGTTTACTTAATTTACTCTATCCAAAAGGACCATAAAGTATATCCATAGAACAGCTTACTTTCAAAGATCTTCTTATCATAGAATATTTTCCGTGAGACAGAGAAAATAAACTGAGTCAAAAAGTTAGTTCATACATCCTGTGATAAGCCAGGGCCTGCGTGAGATTCATTAGTGTGGGACTTGATGTTAATCTTCTGTATAAACTCGGAGGAAGTGGAACCTGAGACCAATTATGCAACATTATTAGTAACAAACAATTCATGGGGTGAGAGGGTGGGGTAGAATGGGAAAGATGTGGTGCAGGGTAGAGAAGTTCTTTATTACATCCCCCTGGCACACACACACACACAAAACTCAACCAAACACCATCCCAAAAGAATCCTATTTGATCAAACGAAACAAGTTCTGCATGTGACTTTTCAAAATAGAGTCGCAAAGAAGTTAAATAAGACAAAGTTAGTTAATCCAACAAAAAATAAAATGAATAACATGCATAATTTCATGACTATAAGCAGAGATGGAGGCAGGGGCTGTGGGTCCCTCCCCTAGCCTCCCTGATTTTGTTCACCATTTTATATATGCAAAAAACTGACTCCAGGCAATGCAAATCCTACCTGTCCCTGCTTTTAAGAGTCGTACTTGTCAAAAGTAACAAGTTAAGAAAAAATTACACAAATATAACTACTTTAAACTCCACTAACAAAAATATGACTTTTTGCTCTAACTTAATCCCATGATGCCCATACGTGATCCATGCTATAAGTCACTTTCTTGTAACTCCCATGACTTTTGATAATATTCATGTAAAAATCTCACAAGTTAAACCATAACTAAGCATAACTTTTCAGGGACAAATAGATAATTATGTAAACATTTTAAGATGAAAGAAACAAGCAACCGACCTCATTTTGTCTACTTCGGCCTTTCTTTGATTGAGCATCTCCAGTTAAGAGCTCCTGAACTGCATCAACAGCTATATGCCCACTATCATCTCGTTGCCAGCCCCCAAGCACGTTTTCAGATAAAAGTGCGATGGGTGATATATCAGTTGCCCTCAGGAAGGGAATCGGTACTGTGTTACCAGCTGAGTATATTGACCAAAGCTAGTGGCACAAAGAAAGTGTGATATACCGCTTATAACTTGATCGAATGAATTGTAACAGAATAGAGAGAGAAAAGGAAGGAGAGAATCAGAACGAGATAGAGTCTAGAATTTCTGTGATATTTCATAATCTGTCCTTTTTCTTATACTTTCCCTATATAGTAAAAGATAAATCATAACAGTGGATATTTAAATAAGAAGCCCAACAACACCCATAACAATAAATATTTAATAAACAGGCCCAGCAATAATTGAACCCGTCCAGTTGAATAGTTGGCCCAGCTTATTTAAATATGATGTCCGACACTCTTGGGTGGATTCACGACAGAAAGATATAAAACATAATGAAAAAAACAATATATATGCCCCACCGATGGGTGGTTTACCTTCCAGGGTAAAAAAAAACAATATACGAAGTATATGCAAATATCAAAACCACCAAGGGGTAAAGTATACCTTATCCAAAGCTTTTCTATTGACAGTTTCATTCTTCAACGGGACTCCGCTTTGAGAAATGTATCCCTTCTGATCATAACTAGGGGAAGTTGCAGGGGAAGGGGTTGTTTGTACATGTCCAGGAGGCTGAGGAGCCACTACAGGGGAGCTAACATTAACCTCATTTTGTACCCTGATGGGATCAAATAGTTCAATTAGAAAAATATCCACTTTACCTTCATTCTAGACTTTAATAATGTTCCATTATCAATTAAAAGGGACTATTTTATAAGAAGTGCATTACAGGGCTGCATGTAAACATAAAAAGTAGCTGTTTGACAACTAATAGGAGTTGAAAAGGCCAAAGGCTCTCTATAAGTTCTCCAACAAACAAGGCCAAAATATTCAGGAAAATGAGTGGAAGATTAAAATATTCACACTATTTGCATGCTGGTATAGTTTCTACACATGGTAAAAATTGCATGGAGAAAACTACTGATGCTGTACTAGGTCATACCGTTCAATTCATGCCTACATATTCCAAACCAACACATTACTTTTCTTCAATTTTGACACCAGAAAAAGAAATAAAGCAATTGACATAAAATCTATTAAGGAACTTATCAGGATGGTCATGAAGTTGAAATAGCGGTTGATAAAAATCATCAAATTGCTATTTACTTTGTTGCAAGGGTTTATATGTAGCTGAAGAAGCATTAAATATTTGTTGGTAAGCATTATCTGCCCTTTTAACCCCCTTTTTATGTGTAACCTCAAGGAAAAGAGAAACTACCAAGGTTCACTTTCTTTGTCACCAGAAGTACAAGCACTTCTAGTATTCCTGAGAGTAGAGGATGGCTCAGAATTTGCAAATGCAGTTTGAGTAACAGTCTTATCTATGTCAACTCCATCTCGAACTATCATGGTCCCATACTCTCCTGATAAAGAACCCCCAAGCAGTCATCATTTCTCAGAATAATTTACATTTTTTAAAAGTAAAACAAGGCTGCTTAGGCAAACTGGCTGTTGGCTTGCATAACCAACAGAAAACTATACATTATAAATCATCTAAGCCATAGTTCAAATGGTTGTTACATTCATAATGACATAATCTTACACTGGATGCTGGATTAACCTCAGGCAAGAACAAGGTCAAGTGTTAAACAATAGGGATTGTGAGATCAAAATGTTAGCACAAGTGACATAATCATCATTTCTCAGAATAATTTACATTGGTAAAAAGCAAAAAAAGGCTGCTTAGGCAAACTGGCTTGTGAGATCAAAATGTTAGCATAACCCATACATTACAAATCATCTAAGCCATAAAGTTCAAATGGTTGTTACATTCATCATGACACAATCTTACACTGGATTAACCTCAGGCAAGAATACGGTCAAGTGCTCAACAATAGGGAATAGGGATGCCATATAAAGTGAAATAAAATAAGTTTTACCTTCTCCAGTAGGTTCCACCAAGCTTTGAGAACCAAATGCAGGTAACACACCATTGGCAACATTTACCTTAGAGGGGACAGTATCCCCGAACTCTTCATTCATTTTTAGGCCAGCTAGCTGCAGTAACACAAAAATGGCAGGATCTTTTTAGTGATTGGAGGGGCCATACAAGAGCCGAGTATAGAACCAAAAGTTAAGACATACATCTGAGCCTGGTAATGGCGGATCTTGAACAATAATTTGTTCTTCCAAAGCCATTGACGACCTAATTTTCTTGGCCTTTTCAATCTTGGGGACCATAACAGATGCTCTACTTTTGCATTTCTCAATAAATTTATGCTTTCAAAAATGAAAAGAAAAATGGATTAGATTACATAAAATTAACTTGAAAATTGCTGAAGGGAAATCATACTGCAGAACTAAGTTGTATGGTAACAGCTCCTTCATAGAATTTAGAACTCCATTGAGTAATCAAACTGCTTTATAAGATGCATTGTGTTGCTTTTTAATACAATATATAGTCATGGACCTTGGTCATATTGCATGACCTGTGATTGCAAGGTGGTTTTGCAATATCAATTATGTAATGGACATAAAAATAGCAAACATTTCAACATATCAAAATAACCAATGATGGTGACAGTTCATCATCTCTCCTTGTCCTTTTTGTGACAAGGAGGACATCCGATACAAATCATTGTTGCTATCCTTTTTACATGAATTTGTATGTTTTAATTTTGTACAATAAAGTCACACTATAAAATTAATGCCACTGACTCCAACTAATGACATGAAAAAATTAATGTCATTGACCTGAATAGATGACTATGGTGCTAATGACGATGATGATGATGATGATGATGATGATGAAAACTCACGGCCACTTATTATACATATGGCACCACAACGGTTGGCCCAAGGTTTTGGTTGTTAGTCTTCAACCTGGCAGTGTGGGGCTAAACTAAGTTTTCGTCACTTAATCAAATAATGCCTTTTTGTATTGACTTTCAAGCAACTGCCATCTTAGGGCACGAGAGAGACAAGCCATCTACTCCCCCTACTTCCTTAAAAGAATTTGCATTTTCCTCCATCCGTCTCAAAATTAACTTCTTATTTCCTTTTAAGGAGAGAGTTTGGCTTCTATTTTTCAATTTTCCCACTCCTTTAGATAAAACTCAACCACTCCAACTTTTTTAATAAGCATGCCAAAAGAAAATAAGTTAATTCGGGGACGTAGGGAGTATAAAGTATCATGTGTACTCTAGTCTTTGTCTATTAAACTGATAGTGTACCTTAAGCATCTCTGCTGCAGTTGGACGAAGACGCGGGTCCTTCGTAAGGCACTTTGCAATAAAGTCATGAAACACAAGAGACCTGAAATGATACACAGATGCAAAAAGGACATATAAATCGAAGCATATCTGTATTTCTTCTTATTGTCACCTCAAATCATGACAGAAAACTAAAGAGGCATAGCAAAGTAGCAAATGCGAGCCAATTTCCATCTTCACTATTCTCAAAATCCATCTTTCAATTAAAAAGAGAACATTGTAATTTGTAACAATGCCTACTATAGTAGTATGTAGTGAACTGCAGCTATAGTTCATCCAATGGCCAAATCAATGCCCCTTTGATTCCTAAACTTTCTTGTTTCTTTCTCTTTTTCATTTGACGCTTCTACCCATTAAATTTGAACCTTTATTACACGTTAGCTTCAGTGGCACAGGCAAACATATCATGTCATACTTATGGCAGATTGGCAGTTTTTAGAATAGCTGAATTCATGGGTCTAAAATGTGAGCTCTCATCCAGGCATATCCATGACAATTTAGCTCCAAGCCTCAATGCATACACGAGCTTTAGTTACATTATTTATGTTACACTGTCACCAAGATATATGTGACAATTTGAGCTGAAAATGCATATTCACAAATAAAATATTCAAGGGCAATGTCCCAAGATATATCAGCTGGATAAACCGCGAGTTATATGTGAGCTGACAATGCATATTCACAATTAAAGTATTCAAGGGCGATGTCCCACCAGGTATTATAACATTAGAAGGGATAGTAAACTTCGTTTTGAAAGGGCATAGCATGGTCAAGAAAAAATACAATGCATAATGCTATTTTGGAAGGGTGGGTGTAGCATGTATGAAGAGAAGGAAGGGTGTAGGAAGCAATTAAATATGTAATCAGAAACTAAAGAAACCTAGTTTCCTTGTAGCTTCTCTACAAGTCTTGTAAACTTGACATGCATGCCGGGATAGGTCAGTTCAAAGAAAAGTAAAGAAATAATGTCAAAAATAGGAGTGGGGACTTTTGACTAGACAAAAGTAGAAACCATTTTTGTGAAAAACAAAAAAGAGACCAGGCTACAGACCAAGGCTGGACAAACCATCTGCGCAATTTGAAACCCTTCGTCTCTATCCCGTAATTCCCATTCTCACCCATCTGCTCTTCAGTGGCCGCAGGTTTTCTCTACTCGCCGGCCGCTGCTTCAGCGCTCACTCACTGGCCGTGGCTTCAGCACTCACCATCATCTTCGTCTCTCTCTTCTGGTCTTCACGTCGCTGTCACCCGTCATCCCGGTCGTTCTTCTTCTTCTTCTTTGTCCGTGATTGGGATGTGAATCGGCGATTGGGCAACGAGGACTTGCGACTAGCGATGACTAGCGACAGGCGACCATTGGAGACGGGCGACGAGGACGACGGAGGATGATGACGACCGGCGACGACGACCCAGATCCAGAGTAGCGGCGGCGGATAGGGTTGGAGTGGAAGGGGGTGCAAAAGGTTCTAGGGCTGGGGGCTGGGGACAGGTGCGGGGCGGGGGCGGCAGTCACTGGGCTGGGTGGTGGTTGGGGGCGGGGTGATCAATGCCCAGGCGCTGGAGGTCAATGGCCGGGCTGGTTAATGGCCGCGCTGGTCACTTGTTGGATTAGTCATGGCCACTAGTCGGGTTGGTCACTCGTCGGATCGGTCATGGTCACAGGTCAGATTGGTCATTGGTCTGATTGGTCACGGTGCGGGTCAGATTGGTCATTGTCAAGTGGTCACTGGTCGGGTTGGTCATGGTCATGGTCATGGTCACTCACCGGATTAGTGATTGGTCGGATTGATCATGGTCATTTGTCAATAGCATTTATCTTTGTAAAATATATGGACAACCCCCAAAAGTAAAATATGGAGTATAGAAGTTAACAAAGTATAAAACCTGTGTAACATTAAGGGACATTGTAAATTATTATCCCCAAGATAATTTGAGATTGTGAATCAGAAAAGGGATAAAAATTAGAATCAGCTGCATAGTAAAACCTAACTGCATAGTAAAATTTAATTTCAAGTATTGCTCCAAGGATTAAATGCTAACTCAAAGAATCAGGAACAAACCATTTCTCTTTATCCTCAAGCATTGGGGCTGGCTCAATTGATATCATAAATAGTACCTATCAAAAATTGAAATCACATTAAGTATCTCACACCATAGGTGAGGAACTTTTTTCTACACATTGGCTGAAATCATTAACTAATTTTAAGTTCACATAACACTTAAAGATCAGAAACAAAGAGCTGCAGAAGTCGTTAACCTCCCTTGCCATTATGGATTCAAATAACAAAGACAGTAGCAATAGCATATTCAGCACCCCAACATGAAACCATACGTACAAGGTGCATCATAACAGGAGTAAACTAAATCTATTGTTGAGGTGACGAGCATTAGAAAGGCTTTAAGAAAGCATCAGTCATAAGAAAATGATAAAACAAGCTGTTTTTAAAATAACACTTGGGCATTATGATACAGTAAGCAAATCCTTTGGAACACTCACGGGCTCAAGTGTCAATTGTTTTGCTGACTGGTCAACGTATATGTATTAATGTTCATAGAGGTTTAGTGATTTATCTGGCCATTGACTAATGTGTAGTAGGATATCTAAAACCTCTGTACATCATAGATTCATTAAAAAGCACAATGCGCCATGGTGTATATAAAGTTTTCATTGAAAAAGTTACAAAAATTTTGCAGAATATTGTTATCAGTATATAAAGAGAGTAAAAAACTATTAATAGAAAATATTCTCCAGAGGGTGCATATTTGAAGACTAACCCTCATAGGATGGACTGTTGCTCTTGGAGGTAGACCCTGCATAGAACAACAGCATAACAGTAGCTCAGTTACTTCAGTATCTATAACTCTATAAGTATATAACAATTTAGCTAAACTTTCATAATTTTAGACAGAGCCAAATGCATAGCCAAATGTTGGAACGCCAATAAGTTAGAAAGGATATCATGCCCCCCACCCCCAAAGAAAAGTTTTCTTGTCACGGCGGTAAGTCGAGTCGCGGCGCCAGCTGACCGCCATATCGCCTAGGCGACAAGGCGCCCGCCTAGGCGACAAGGCGCCCGCCTAGGCAACAATTAGGCGACTAGTCACCTATATGTGTATATTATATTATATTATATATATATATAATTATATATTTAATTATATATTATGTTTAGTATATTACTAACTAAAATGTATATAACTTAGAATTGAAATCCACAATTAATAATCAAAAACAAGGTTTATTAATGAGAATTAAGATAAAAATGTATATCTCAAATAAGCAGCGTAAAGATCACACTACTAAGTTCTCAAAAGGTTGAACTATTTGTATACATAATTAACTAATTATATATAAAATATTTTGGTAATAGTTTAATAGTTTATTATTTTATAACATATGATAAATTAATGGTTTAAATATTTCATACTTTATACGGAGTAACATATAAATATATAATAAATTAATGGTTTAAGAGTTTATTATTAAACGAATATACGAGCATATCAGTATTCAGTATATCACCAGTAGAATAAATTAATGGTTTAATGTCTATATCAGCATGTTACACTATATTTATAAATTAATTGTTTTATACTTTTATAGTATCTATATAATTACCATAAAAAAAATACTGTACGCATATGTTGATAAAAATATCACTTTAGTAAAAATAAAAATATTAAAAAAATAAATCCACTACACCCCTAGAGAATAAAAGATAAGATAAGATAAGATAAGAAATTGGTGGACTCAAGTTAATTAAGTGGCCTGTGTTGTAGACTCGTAGACTCGTAGTATGCTTCAAGCTTCAACGACAGACTGGGAGTTGGCTATTGGCTTGACCGGCGACTTCTTCTGCCTTCTGAAGTCAATTCGTTGCTTCTCTGTGACTCTGTGAGTTAATCGATGGCTTCGGGCTGTGTATTTAATTAGAAGGCCACCGCCTTAAAACCTTAATTAATGTGTTTCCTAAAAAAATTAAACCTTAATCTGCTTTGGGCCTGCGGACTTTCGACTGGGCTAAAATAGGCGGCCACAAGTCGCCAAGTTCACGCCAGGACGACGCCTTGGCGACACCAAACGTGACTGGTCATCTTCTGGCGAGTCGATCTCCCAAGTCGATGCTTCTCCATCGCCGGGACGCCTAGTCGGCGCCTAGGCGACGCCTAGTCGACGCCGTGACAACCACAAAACCGCATTATCGTTTCCTATTGGCAGTTATTCATTTAACAAGCAGGAAGTGCACATAGAGATTTAACTGAACCATCCCGCGCAAATAGGAGTTCCCAGTGCAGTGAATACACCCACCTCTGCCATTTCAATTGCAGATACGCCGAGAGCCCACACATCAACCTAAGAGAAAATAGAAAATATAAGCCCGCAGATAAAGTGCAAAAAACTAGCATGTACACAACGTCACAAACAACTACAAGGAATACCTTCCCATCATAACGACTTTCTTGAATAACTTCAGGAGCCATCCAATGTGGAGTGCCGATAAACTAAAAATAATTACATGAAATAGTGCAATTTAGCAAGGCATAGCTCAAACAGAGGCCGGTTTTCGGATCTTTTCACATAAATCTTTAATTTCATTCTCATACAGGATAACTTGCATATAAAGGAGGCAATGCCTAGGCAAAGAGATGATATTTTCATGTACGATAACTCGCAAGTATAGTATGCAAGGACTAGGCAACAGAAACGATATCTATATGAGAAAACAACCTGGAACTCTCTAGTCATCTGATACTAAATGAAGGGTCAAGAACATTTAAAGACATCCTTTGTCTTAAAGTAGTTAGTTTTATGCTTGCTGAAAAATTGCATGATCCAGCTCCTACTCACTTTCATTGTTTGGGTTTCTCATTATTATCGCAGTTAGTAAATATCTATTTTTTTGTGTTTATGCCCAGGACTGAAATAGAGGCAATCTAAAAATCTATATTTTTAACAAAAGAAAGTGAAATATGTGGCATCAAATTTTATGATAGTAGGTATTTCGATAAATAGAAAAACAAAACTGCTAGGCATACCGTGTTACGTTTGGACATTGTTCTTGTCAGCTGTGCAGCAACACCAAAATCGCCTGCTCAAAATTTGGATAAATTGTTACACATGTTGCAGACTTGCAGGGCTGTATTTAAGCAGGCAATGGTACTCTTTTGACGAGCTACTAATGGGAGAAAACTAATCACAAATCAAATTAGCAGACAAAATGATATGCAATTAAATATTCATAAGACGTTCTGCAAAACCATAACATAGAAGCACAAGGTTCAAGACTGAACTTTAGAAGGCACAATAAAAGCATAAAGGCACACCTAATTTAACCTCTCCTTGATCACTCAACAAAATATTGCCGCCTTTAATGTCTCTGTGCACTTTAAATATTGAATGCAAGTAGGTCAAGCCCTGCATTAAACAGAAAACAACCCAGATGAAACTTTGTAAAACAACACCGTTAAAACTTCAATCATGAAAGAATGCCATTTTGCTTTATACTACAAGTTGGAAAATATCTATAATGATTTAGCGATCAACTATACTTACCTCCTAAAAACAACTACACTTACATTTCCATGAATGTCCAAGATTTTTGGACTTGGGGAGTAAAGCACAGAAAGAAGATGTTTATTATTTGGTTTGGGGCTAGTTAGAAAGAAATACCATAACCTATTGTATTAATAAACTAAAATTAGATTACAATTTATATAGGCACCACCAGGTCACTTAGGCATTTGAGAAAAAACTCATGTATGCTATAAATGTTGTCTGATAAATAACTGTTTTGACTTTTGACAGCCATGTGAATCAAGTTATTGATCTAGGGTTGCTCTAAGATGGCTTTACAGCCCCTTAATGTATAACACAGTTGCACATAACTCCCTCTGGCCTAAGCTATAGTGCACACTTGCTTAAATTTAGTTTTTAATAAAAACAAGTAAAAAGTAAAGTACTTAAAAAATTGTTCCTCAAGTGGGTCAATAGTTTCAAGTTATTTATAATAAAAACTACGATAGAGAAAATTCCTGAATTTGGAAAAGCAAAAGGTTAGCGATGTTTAAGGACTAGTTCTCTTTGACTTGTTTTTTCTGGTATGATCATTTTTTGTTTTAGTCAGGTTTAGTTTGATATTATGTGATTTTATTATTATGCATATCGTCACATACTCATTAAGTATTATTATAATCATCATTAATGAATATATTCATAACAAATCAATCGCATTATATGAGACCATATCATGCAAAACCGGACCAAACCAAATCAAACTAGGTCAGGCCAGGCTAGACAATAATACCATACCACCATTTCAATTTGGTAAAGTATTTTAATCAGCTGACTTGTTTCTTATGTTATAAATTTATTAACTGATGATGATAATGACATGCTCTTTTCAACGTATTTCAATACAACATGAGACCGTACCAACCCAAATCCAATCAAAGTAATCTACAGTACCGCACCGGACCAAACCAGACAACAACTTCACAGGACACGCTTGAGATTTACAAACTATTAATAGTGCAAATTTATATGATTGTTGTAATTTTTATAATAAACATTAGAAAAATAACATATAATAATAGTATGTTAGTATTACTGAAGATTATGATATTTATTATTATTGTGTGTGTGTGTGTGTGTGTGTGTGTGTGTATATATACAGTATGACAAATTTGCTTGTTTTTACCAGTTGAAGAGAACACATCTGATATTTGAAAAGCTTACAGTTTTTTATTATTTTGAGACATGATTAAATAATGGAAAATAGGGCAATAAAATGAGAGATGGAGTGATACATTTCAACACTCGCCCTCAACGTAGAGCATCTTATGTTTCGAAATTGTTATGACATTCACAACACAATTCCCTCCATACAAGAGACTTAATTAGACTTCATGGTCAAGCTGGCTTTACCTTGACTGATTTTTATAACTTCACCTTGATCACTTGAACCTCAAGCTTAAACTGAACTTCAAGCTTATCTTTAAGTCTTTAACTAGAACTATTAACTTCAGGTTGAGCTAGCTTGAGTTTGAACTTGGATTCTTGTATTCAGCATGAACAAGAAAACTCTTAGACTTAGTTTTGCACTTGAACTTAACCTTTCCCCACATAACGTGATACTCACTCAATAGTTCATCTGTGTTTTATTATTGATGTTTTTTGTATGTCTCATCTGCATATGGACCTTGGTTTAAAAAAGTGTGCCTGTGGGCGTGAGGCGCCCTAAGGCAATTAATTTACCGCATCATATACCCCCGGGCGTAGTAGGTTCCAAGAGGTTGCTTGTGGACATTCTGGTGATTCTTTCCATAGATCTCCCTCAAATCCTAAATTTAAATTTTTAAGTTTAAATGAAGTTGCAAAACGGTTCAAAGAGGTTGCTTGAGTTATTGAAAGGAGGTTGCTGCAGTGGAATCTAGCACTCTGCCCAAGATGAGTGGGTCAGTGGGGGGAGAGTATTTAACCTCTAACCACTCATGCAGACTGCAGAGAAAGCTGAGTGGCTTTTTGAGTGAAGATGCTGTGAAGCAAACCAAAACAAGTCTCCATGTCTGCGCAAAAAGCTACTGAAAGTGGAACAGTGGACAAGGACAAAGAATATGTGAAAATGTGCAGTCTTTCATACTTCAAATAAATTGAAGAAAATGAAGATAGCTGTGTTGACAATGATAAGTAGAAATTAAGCTCAAGGAAGAAAATGACGCAAACTTCAAATGTCAAGTAGAATGCAGAATCCTAAATCCAGTAGGTTCTTCAGTCCAAAGGACAAATGGAAAAGGAGAACTGGTCTCAGAACTTAGACGAGAGGCAAGTATAATTTTAATCCTAAATCCTTATAAAACCATCGCCTCATTAATAAATCCCTAAGTTGCTTCTGCAGTGTTTCTCATCAAGTAAGGCAACCCCTTATTCATAGACCTTAACTCCCTAAGGTTTACGTGTCAAGATATTCTTAAAGTGCCTCAATTGAGATCTTAATCCCTCCTTTTTAACTATACTTGACAACACTGAATATGATGCCAATTAAATTTCCAACCCACTAAGGTCACAATATATGTGGTTGAAGACATATATGGGTTAAATTTGACTGGAGTGGTTGATAAGAATAAGATAGAAGAAAAAAGTTGCCATTTTGTGCTTGGGTTAAACAATGGGACAATATGAAAGAAAAAAGTCATTATTCATGTCGTCGCCATGAAAAGTAGATGGAATAGAGAAGAAGTGGGGTTTTGGGTTGTGAATAGTAGTTATTGTCAATCATGGTTCACCTACTCATTCTTAAGATAAGACTCATAAAAGAGGTCAAAGATTAGAGAAAGAAGGATGAGAGCACACATCTAGATTACAAGCTTATAACAGCTTGTGCACTAAACATAAAGTAGTTTATAGGGACACAGGACACTAAAGGGCTATCACATTATGATAACATCGCTACTTTGACACTTAAATGATCTACCTAGGGTTGCTATAGATTATAGAACAATAAAAACATAATCTTTTTGGACTTATTCATCTTTCCACTTTACTTGAATCACATATTAAGGAAGTTTCATCAAATGTCTAAATCAATCACAACTTGTCTAATCTTACATTCTTACCAAATTTACCCATATTTATTAAGTCAATGCACATTTAAATAATGTGTCTTAATTATCCTTTCATGTTTTCCACGTTTCATATATAATGCTGAAGAATAATCTAAGGAAAATTTAAATAATGCTCCATACTTATTGCATGTCTTAATTATTGCATGATATTTCTGCTTATCAACTTTCTCAGCCTGATTTCCCCGTTTTAAGTAGATAGATTGTCATTGATGTGATGGGGAGTGGAAATGTACAATACATTCCCTCCATCCCAGCATCCCTATATAAAAAGAATTTGAAAGATTGTTTAGACAATCTATGAGGAGGGTATATTAATAAAAGTTTGCTCAAAAAAGATTTTAAGTATGGATTTTGTTTTGCTACTGCCATTTAAGAAACACGGAAAATTATATATGGGATGGAAGAAGTACTGTCTTTAACTTTAAAAAAAACTTTTCAAATATATTTTCAGATAATTCAAACCATTCACCAAATACAGCCATTTCAGAGTCAACTTCAGCAAAATCATCCCGTCATTTCAACCATGTCAGCAAAACTTTACAATTGCCAAACGGGTTCATATGTTCAAGCCAAGCTTACCTTCAATGCCTCTCTGCAAATGTATGCTATTTGGTATTCATCAAGTGGCTCATCGGTAACATTCATTAAATCTGCAACACTTCCACCCCCACAGTACTCCATCACAATCTGTAAACAGATAAATATGCTTATAAGAGGCATAAAAACAATAATTCATGTACGTGGAATAAGAAAGTAAAAATTTTGTTGTTGAGATTTGTGCAAAAGAGAGAGAGAAAGAACAACATTAAGCACATATTGGAAACGGCGAAGTTTTTGGGAGGCAAAATAAGAAAAGTAGGCAAAGGTGTGTGGGACGGAGGGAGTAATACATTATTTTGGTTTTACTCGTACTATCGCGATACAAAAGAAATACTCCGTGTTTCAATCAAATCAGTTAAAGCATTACTTAAAGATAATAGCAGTGTTCATACCCAAAGGTACTCTTCTCCTTGGTAGCTCCCAAGGTATCGAACAACATTTGGATGACTGCACTGCTGCAACATTTCTATTTCGCCACGAATTTCTTCATATCCTTCCTCCTTAAAGCATTAAATATCTCATAAGGTTATGCTGCAACACAAAAAAAAAAAAAAAAAAAAAAAAAAATCACAGAGCTGGCACAATACACACCCCTTCACTCAATGATATCACTTTAATTGCAACCATTTCTGATGTCCTCAGGTCTCGCGCTTTGTACACTGCACCATATGATCCTTTCCCTGCCATTGAAAATGCCTCCCATATTCAACCAACCACCTTGTGTACCAGCCAATTTAACAAAGTAACCAACCATACATGATACAGGTCAATCACAGGATAGCAAAAGTACATAACCTAACACCATTTTAATTCAGTTACAAATTCTACCCATGCGTCATCCAATAAGCATCCTAGTGGAAATAGATTGACTGAATGTTAGGCAAAGTATTTATCAGTATGGGCAAATGACAAGAAAACCCCTTACATATGAAGGAATTAAAGTAAGAGGGATGATTGCGTTAAAGGCCATTTCTAGTAAGGTAACCAGGTAGAGCATTGAGCTATGAACTAATCCAGCTGTGGCATGTACATCAAATAATGCATCACTATTACTGCCAATTGCAAAACTCCTATTTGAATCAGACTAGAGGACAGAATTTAAATTTACCAAGCTCATGGAGCAATTCATACTTGGTAGACGGGTCTTCCTTGGTAATACTCTCTGGAATCGAGCTGGAAGAGACCTTGCTCCCTTGAGCCCTTAAATCCTCCTCAGGCGCCCACCCAGTTCCGCTTTTCATCTGTCTTGCATGCCCGATCTCCCCCACGGCCTGCATGCTTGCCACAGCTCTACTCATAGTCGACGATCCACTGGTACCCTTGCTACCACTTTTTATCGACCTCGTCACAACTGTCCCCGAATCAAAATCCCTCTCTTTCACCACAAACGTCGAGAAATCAACTTCTCCACCCTCCTCTTCTTCACCATCGTCCTCAACTCTCTGGCCACTGTTTCTCCCACTCCTTTCCCAATACGACGCTGGTCCAGAGCTAGGCTTTCGGAACGGAGATGAGGGGTTCGAATACATCGAGCTGCGGCTAGTCTTGACTATCATTGTTCCTGAAATTGAGACAGGCTCATCGTCAGAATCAGAGTCGGCATCGGACTCAATTGGACCGCCGCCGCCGAAGTCCTTAGGGAGTCGTTTGAGTAGCGGAGGGAGTGAATCGTCGTCATTAGGATCATCAACGACGACGACGTCGTCCTTGAAGACCATCGTGGCGTAGAGGTCTAAGCTATCCGTTTCTGAGGCGTCATTTTTGGTCTCACGTTCGTTGCCCACGGTAGAGTAGATGTCCACCAGCTTCGGCGGAGGCGGTTTACGGCTGCGCCGACGAGTCGGAGAAAAGTCCATCTCTCAGTTGCACTGGACTGACCCGCAAATTGTTCGACCAGAGTGGAGAGTCCACTGACAACTAACCATTGCACTTTTGACCCGACAGTTGGGGAACACCCTCTCTGTCTGCGGGAAATTGAGAATTTGAGACCCCTCTCCTCTTTCTGCGAGCAATCATTTTAGTGTGGGAATAAATTCTTCCTGCTTTGACCTGGCTTGCAGATTAAGGAAGTGAGAATAGAATGGGAATGTATAGTTATAGTTGTGTAAGAAAAAGGTAAATGAATGTGAACCACACAATTTTTCTAAAAGTAGAAGTTGGAAGAATTCTTTGGACGGTCCGAAAAGGAAAGTTGAAAGAATGTAATGGGAGGTAGTATTTTTTATTCTCTGAATATGAGTAAATTCATGCCAAGTTTAGCATTACAAGGCTTTTAACATGCCAATTTTTTCAAACTTGTTAGATTACTCCTTCAGAGAATAAAGAACATGATATTCCTATTTTGGAATGGGAGAAGGCTCAAAAATGACACTAAGATTATTTACAAAGTTCGGATAAGACATTAAACTTTTAAGTAGACCAAATAAATACATAATCAACTTATTTGGACTATATTTGGCCACTCACTTATGACTCAGTTAAACCCACCGTTAATTGCTTATGCCTTTGTACTCAATTCTTTATCGACTTAGATGACTCCACTCGCGCATCTCTTTTTCACTTTCCCATGGCCAACAAACATCTCTTCTATTTTCCTCCAAAATGAGTGAAAATCGTATCTCTTCTATTTCCGACGTGAAGGATCGGACTTCGGAGATCTAGCGACACGGGAGCAAGTCGGCGCTACTGCCGGCGATCTGGCAGTCACTGCAACCAAAGACCTGCAGCGGGCATCCTCGTTATACTTTGGTTCAATCATCTTTCACTTAGGTCGAGAGAATGAGCCAACTCAAGGAATACTCACCGCTGACATCTGCAGAGGGATCTCAACCCCTGTTGAACAGGGACAGACCGAATCGACTTCAGATCTGCTTTTTTCTCAGTGCATATGCAATATATCACGATGCGAGGTAATCTGTGGAGATAAAGACCAGACTCCAAGCCCTGTTGCGATTGCGAATGCTATACCACTATACCAAAATGAAAATCGAAGCTTTTACCATCAGTTCACATATATTGTTGTTTCAAAATAGTGGGCGGAGAAAAATTACCAATCTAGGCCAACCAAGTGGAATTAATTCACAACCGAGAAAGACTATGGGCAATCAATTGCTCCTCTGCTACTGTTTTCATTGCTCTATTTATTGCAAGTGCAAGTTTGTAGAGTTCTAGGTTTGCCGGCATGAGTCAAAACTGGGTTTTGGGCGAAGAGAAGGTATACATGTGGGATTTGGGTTTTCAGAAGTTGGTTGCCATTGAATTGTGGTGTCTACCGGACAAGAAACGAGGGATGGGTCTAATTTGGGTTTTGGAGGAAGATAATTGACGAGAACATCCGTTAATTCAAGTGTGATGTAACGAGGAGGAATGATCCTGTCCAGCCGGAGGGACAGGATCTTCCGTCCGGCCGCCGCCTTTTGGGGCGGTTCCCGGTGGAGTTTTTTGATGAAATTTTTATGGAATGTTCCTCATCAAGTCTAGTTTATCCACAAAAAATTTCAGCTAAAAATTCGATCGGGAAGGTAGTCAAATAATTTTTTGAAGATAACTGCTCCAACTTTAACATATAAAACGCAGTTATGTTTCAAAAAATTATTTGACTGCCTTCCCGATCGTATTTTTAGCTGAATTTTTTTGTGGATAAACTAGACTTGATGAGGAACATTCCATAAAAATTTCATCAAAAAACTCCACCGGGAACCGCCCCAAAAGGCGGCGGCCGGACGGAAGATCCTGTCCCTCCGGCTGGACAGGATCTTTTCCGATGTAACGAGTGTCCTAATATCACATAAAAACATATAGTTTGTGTTTATTTGGTCTACTTAAAAGTTTGATGTCTAATTTGAACTTTGTAAATAACCTTAGTGTCATTTTTGAGTTTTCTCCCTTTTGGAATTTCAAAACGTTTTTACTTCTATTTGGGGCAATTTCCGTTTTAAGTACGGTCATTCATATTGTTCAAAAAAAAAGTACGGTCATTCATAGGGCTGGGACTTTGGAACCAAGAGCCGGAGAATTGAATCGGATCGAACCGTTGTGACCCGGTTCGGTTCCAACATTTATTAATTATTTGTTAACAGTTCGGTTCCTATTTTTTATTAACGGTCCGGTTCTCGGTTCCTGAAAAAAATATGTACCAGGAACCGTTAAGCAACCGTTATATATAATAATTAAAATTAAATATATATCTTATGAGTATATATATTTTAATGTATATTTACTTATTTATTTTTATATTACACTCATTATTTTAGTTTAGTTATTTAACTATTCAAAACTATTATTCACTTCAACCGGTTCTCTTAGGCTTCTTAGGCCTCTCTCTCATTATGTCCAAACTCAGCGGGTCGGAACTCGGAAGGTCCAAATTATTTAAAATTATTATTCTCTTTAACTGGTTCAACCTATTTGTATTGTAATCTCAAACGTTGAATGTCTTTAACTGGTTCTATAAAATAATTTATAAGAACCGAACCGTTAGTAAATTTTCATATTTTCAAACGGTTCCACATATTTTGCCTAGGAACCAAACCGATCCCAGGCCTAGTCATTCATAAGTACTACTACGTACATAATAATTGCTTAACACGAAGCGGAGGTCCTTTAAAAAAAACTACGGTCATTCATAAGTAATTGCTTAACACGAAGTGGAGGAGGTCATTTCCAAATGATGAGTTTGTGATGGACGATCGATCACACTGATACTAATGGTTCGACCTCCTGAACCATCGTCATGCGTTGAACGAAGTGCTAGGCTGTTTGGGTAAGGCATTTTTGTCTTTTCATATGGGGTTGTGGTGCAAAAACAAAAAGTTTTAAAAATGGGGTGCAAAGTCTAATTTAGACAATAATATGAGGTGCAAACTCAAATTACCCCAAAATTATTTATCCTATTAGTCATTGTTACTTTGTTGTTTGGATTTTTTTTAGAGTCTATGTTACTAAGTTTGCTGGCATGATCGGAAATTTAGCTTACTTTTATGGTGTTAGAAGTATACGAATCTATAACACCACTGATAATTGTATCAAACTTGTTTCGTGGTTAGTGACTTATATTGCTCTTTCGAGGATGGCTGTTTCTATGTTTAATCGTATGGTTTACAGTAGTAGTCGGTGAAGGTTAGTTGGTGTCAGATATGGTTAGTAATAGAACTGCCCTTAGAGTTAGGCTTGTTTACAAAATAAGTCGATGATTATTTACGAAAAAGTCTAGAAGCAGATAAAGAGGACGACCGCTTGAAGATCCTATTAATCCACTTCTAGGCTTTTTCATAAATAAGCCTAACTGTAAGGGCAGTTCTATTCCTAGGCATATTCGTTAATCCCATGTTGAGTTTAATCCAACACGATATAGTAGATATATGTATAAATGTGTATGAACAAGCTCAGTTTTTACGTGGAAACCCAAAAGGGAGAAAACCACGGGACTTTTTAGACTAATGTCCAAGCCCTCTCTTTCTCATTAGACTCTTCTCACCATTACATAGTACAAGTATTGAAGCTCCCATTAATGGAGGATAAAGCTAGCTAATCTATTCTAGAAAGGAGGAGAAGCGGGGAAGAAGAGACCAACCCCAAAAAAGGATCCATAATATGGAGGGAAACTCCCATATTTATAGAGAATAGGGGAAGGGGATGCTCTCCACCCTAATGGGCCGCATGGGACGGAGTGGGCCCAAATGGCTAAAGTGGGTCGGATGGGCCGAAATGGGCCTAACTGCTCGGGCTCCGTACTGAGTAATGTCTTGGGCTCCTGAACAGTAATAGGCCGTGATAATATATCCCAACACAAGTCCCCCAGTTTCTTGAGTTGTGAGTGCGCGAATCTGCTCGAGAAAGTATATTCTTGCCTGCGCTCTGCCTCTGTCTAGCTGGAACCTGTGTCTTCGAATAATCATAATATATGAGTGGATGTCCACACTCCTGAACGTAATCTGCCAGCGAGGCACCCCCCTTCCCGACGGGGTCGGGCGAAGGGTGCTCCTCCACGGGCACGCTCCCCCTGAATGCATCAGGCGAGAGTAAAGGACTCTGACTTGAGCTTTCCAACGGAGAAGCTTAGAGGTCCATGCATATATAAACCGACGTCGTGGTACTGGCAAGACACGATGCACGTGTGTATGTATGAATGTATGAGGTATGATGCATGAATGCATGTAATGTATGGGTGCAATGTATGAGAGAAGGAATGTGAGATGTGATAGAAAGCGGTGGCTCTCATCGATAAACCGGGCATGTTAGTGCCGAGAGGCAGACGTGCTGCATAAGACGGTCATCGCCATCCTAGAAGGAATGGGCGATCCGGAGATGAACTTGACACAATGGCACGGAGGGGTCGATTGTGCTGCATAAGAGATGTTCGTCACCATCCTGGAAGGGATGGGCGAGCCGAACATGAGCCAGACACGATGGCACAGAGGTGCTGATCGTGCTGCATACGAGACGTTCGTCGCCATCCTGGAAGGGAATGGGCGAGCCGAACCGTGAACTGGGTACGATGGCGCTGAGGGGCCGATCGTACTGCATAAGACGGTCGTCGCCATCCTGGAGGGAATGGGCGAGCCGAACCGTGAATCTAGACACGATGGCGCTGAGGGGCCGATCGTGATGCATAAGACGTTCGTCGCCACCCTGGAATGGATGGACGAGCTGAGCGTGAGCTAGGTACGATGGCACTGAGGGGCCGATCGTACTGCATAAGACGGTCGTCGCCATCCTGGAAGGGAATGGGCGAGCCGAACCGTGAATCTAGACACGATGGCGCTGAGGGGCCGATCGTGATGCATAAGACGTTCGTCGCCACCCTGGAAGGGATGGACGAGCTGAACGTGAGCTGGGTACGATGGCGCTGAGGGGCCGATCGTACTGCATAAGACGGTCGTCGCCATCCTGGAAGGGAATGGGCGAGTCGAACCGTGAATCTGGGCACGATGGCGCTGAGGGGCCGATCGTGATGCATAAGAAGTTCGTCGCCACCCCTTAGAAGGGATGGACAAGCTGAACGTGAGCTGGGTACGATGGCGCTGAGGGGCCGATCGTA